AGAAATCCACATTTCAGCACTTCGCTTTGGGGGTGGCTCCCAAACAAAACAAGTTGGGCCCTCGGTTTATTGGGAAAAAGTGGTTGTCCCCTCTTATCGCCCAATTTTTTTTAACATCCGGTCGTGTAACACCCTGTATACTGTCTGAACTGTGAGTACAAGAATTTTTCTACATTTGTTTTAAAAGTGAAAAGTTTAAGTAGTGAATATTTTAGAAATCCCGATAGACATCGAGGCGCCATAAAAGATTAGTCATCGGCGATAAGATACGAAAGCGGATGTGACCGTTTGTATTTAGGCTGGTAACGATGTGATGCATTCTTTCCGGGAAATATGACGTGTTTTGTTCGAGAAGATTCTAAGATACTCGTTCGGAAGCGTTCGAAACAGGGGCGTATGCTATATACGCAGATCGACTTGTGTTTCATCAGTTCGTTTGCGCACAATTGCATTTTGTTTGCGCGCTGCCGGTTTCAAAATTACGAAGGAATCAAATTCGGGGGGGGGGGGGGGCCAACTTCACGACTGCCCCCCAAGTTTACAAATTTCACTTTTTTTTTCTTGTGATCGTTTGCGCTCCTAATACCTTCGTTCACGCCCCCGTAGTTTTTGAGTTATTCCAAATACAAAATTCCATAGTGGCCCCCATTTTTCAAATTTGCCATTTTTTTCTCTTGATCATTTGCACCTCGTCGGGCACTATAGGTGCAATCAATAGAATATGAATAGTGGAGATACGTCACCTCTCGCCTCTTTAGCCTAGCCCTGGCGGTACCTGTGCATAGTGCCGCCGAGGCGCATGGCGCAGTAGCTGCGCTCATCGACTGCCATTCGGGAGGTAGTGGGTTCGAATCCCGCAGCCGACTGCTCTGTCTTGGGTTTTGTCGGGGCGGGTTCCTCAAGTACACGTAGCTTCGCATAATGCCGTTCCCATCCCTAACTTTACCTATCCTTACATTCCATTGTTCTGGATGAAGAGGGTCTGACAACCCTGAGTAGCTCACCTCCGGGGTCTCTGTAGTCGCGATGTCAAAGGAATGAAACACGATGACTTTTTAGCGCATTTTACAACGAAGTTAGGTGCGCTGTTGCAGCCCCTTTCTCTGTCCGTCCGCCTGTCCGTCTGTCCGAGGCCTTAACTACTCATACAGTTTCCAAAATGTTCGTTCTTTTTGCATTCGCTAGCATATGGCTCTGGCACCTGATCAAAAAAATACTTTGACGATTAATGTGCGCATGCCCGGTTGCGCAATATCAACTTTCTTATTTATTAATAGTTTTGTTGAAATTTTAAGTACAGATACTTTCTACTAAAGTCAAACATATAAAAATCAAATGTGCACATGCGCGTAGACTGCGATTTGCCAACATTTTTAATTATGGAGATATGTCTTTGAAATTTTAACTACGGATGCTTTTAGTAAAGACAAATATATCCCATATTGTACAAATCATAATTACTTATGTGCTCACGCGGAATGATAACTTTATTATTTATAGAGATATGTTTTTGAAATTTAACCACAGATGCTTCTATTAAAAATAAACATATCGCATATGGAAAAAATCAAAATGCGAGGCGTTAACTCTTTGGTTTTTAATTTTAACCACAGATGCTTTTAGTGAAAGCCGAGGTGAAAGCAAACTTTAACCTAAAAATAGACCGTTTCTATGACATTTAGGGAAGTATTGATCAATGCATGGAAAATCCGCCTTTGGGCAAAAACTTTTTTCTTTTTTTTTGTTCTTTTTACATAGTGCCCATAGGTTTAGTCATTTCGGGTTGATGTACTAATTTATATCTTTTATTTTATAGCAGATGTTAAACTGACCTTTTAATAGGTTTGAATGAGAAGGCTAAGTCGCCCTTAAACCTTAATGGTAAATAAAGTGAAACAAATGATTGTGCATTCTAATGATATTTGTCATTTTTATTGAAAATGGGACGCGGAGCGCAAAATAAAATGAAATTCAGAACAGACTACAATGCTGTTTCTATGGAAACGATCGCCATAGCAGAATCTAAGCTTATTATTTTTACGTCCAAATTAAACTTAGAAATTTCACAAGTTTTACAATGATTTACATAATCGAAAATGTACCCACATTTATATTTGTTAGAGTTAAAGTTACAGTACAGTTAAAGATACTTAAAAAAGAATTTGGGGAACTTACCGGCCCATAGCTTTCTTGTCTGTTTACTGAATAAACACTGTCCGTGCTTATTATCGTATTAGAATGATACAAAACCCAACTATTTAAAATAAAAGTGAATCAGTCGAACTTTGCGGAAAAAAGCGTCAAATAACAAACTTGAACAATTATGGAATTTTGTATTTGGAATATCTGGAAAACGGCGGGGGCGGAAACGAAGGTATTGGGAGCGCAAACTAAGCGCAAACGATCACAAGAAAAAAAAAGTCAAATTTGTAAAGTTGGGGGGCAGTTGTGAAGTTGCCCCCTCCCCCCCAATTTTATTCCTTCGTAATTTTGAAACCGGCAGCGCGCAAACAGAATGCAATTGTGCGCAAACGAAGCGCAAACGATCAAATGAAAAAAAATAGCAAATTTGAAAAATGGGGCCAGTATGGAATTTTGTATTTGGAATAACTCAAAAACGACGGGGGCGCAAACTAAGGTATTGGGAGCGCAAACCTGCGCAAACGAAGCGCAAACGATCACAAGAAAAAAAATGTCAAATTTGTAAACTTGGGGGGCAGTTGTGAAGTTGCCCCCCCCCCTCCGAATTTGATTCCTTCGTAATTTTGAAACCGGCAGCGCGCAAATAAAGTGCAATTGTGCGCAAACGTGCGCAAACGAAGCGCAAATGATCACAAGAAAAAAAATGTCAAATTTGTAAACTTGGGGGGCAGTTGTGAAGTTGGCCCCTCCAAATTTGATTCATTCGTAATTTTGAAACCGGCAGCGCGCAAACAAAGTGCAATTGTGCGCAAACGAAGCGCAAACGATCACAAGAAAAAAAATGTCAAATTTGTAAACTTGGGGGGCAGTTGTGAAGTTGGCTCCTCCAAATTTGATTCCTTCGTAATTTTGAAACCGGCAGCGCGCAAACAAGGTGCAATTGTGCGCAAACGTGCGCAAACGAAGCGCAAACGATCACAAGAAAAAAAATGTCAAATTTGTAAACTTGGGGGGCAGTTATGAAGTTGGCCCCTCCAAATTTGATTCCTTCGTAATTTTGAAACCGGCAGCGCGCAAACAAAGTGCAATTGTGCGCAAACGAAGCGCAAACGAAGCGCAATCCATTTCAATCACGTAAATTATTGCTTCCTAAAGTTGGGGGGCCAAGTTCACACAAGGTGCCTCGTCCTTATTTGTTCATTTTATCTCTTTCTCCCATTATTTGTAATCTAGTATACTTTCCAATTTTGTCCCTTGCTCTTTCTTCATGTCACTTTTTGGCGCAGTTTTGCAAATTTATTTGTGAAAAGGTAGCTTTTAATCTCACTTTGGCTGGCTGGCTGACTGGATGGCTGGCTGGCTAGCAGTAAATGCGAGTTCGTAGAAGAACGCTTGTAAAAAAACGTGTTACGCTAACCTGGAGATTGTTCAGTTTTTTTTCTATCTTCTATAGTTTTTCTCCGATTGTTTTCCAATTGGTGTCGTCGGAGAGATCTTGTAAACGCGCACAACTTCTGCGTCGCGGAATTTTGTTTTTTTTTCTTAGGAGCGAAATGAACCACATTTTGCATGGCCTGCTTCGAGGGGTAGTCGACTTTGGAAGCCCAAAAGTTTCTTAGAGCTCGAATCGCGGTCTCTCTTTCTCGTGTCACCAATAGCCGTGTTTTTAGCGAAATCCACCAAAATGCGAATTTCGAGTGTACCCTCAAAGAGGCGAGGAAAGTTGGCAACACTTGATCACTCAAACCTCATCCTGCTAGTGCTGCTAGCATCCTGCTTCATCCTGCTTTAAATTTCAGGTCAGCAGCACCATCCTTTCGAGAGATATGAATTTTTGAAATTTTGTTGCTAACTTCCCTCTCAGCAACAATTGGGAGGCAGGATTCCCCAAATATTATCCTGCTTGTGCTGCTACGTGTCAAGACCATCCTGCTTCAAATTTCAGATCAGCAGCACCATCAGTTCAAGAGATATGAAATGATTGAAACTTTCCTAAACAAAAGTTCCATTCTCAAAAACACCTTTGAAGTGAAATGCACCAAATTTGAAGCAGGATGACCTGGACACTTAGCAGTACAAGCAGGATAATATTTGGGAGGGGGGGGGGGATCCTGCTTCCAATGTTTTGCTGAGAGGAAAGTAAAATTTCAAAAATTCGTATCTCTTGAACGGATGATGCTGCTGACCTGAAATTTGAAGCAGGATGAGGTTTGAGTGATTCTGCTTCCAAAGTGTTGTCAACTTTCCTTGTCTCCCACAAAGACAATGCGGTAGCCTTCGATAAGATCTCTGTTGCTGCAGTCAAAACATCAAACTCTAATTGCGCGGGTGCACGGAGTGTCGGAGGTGGGTACTGACAAAGGAAATATGGCAACCCTCGAAGAGATCTTGCTGATGGTGGAGTCTGATCTGCCATACAAAAATGCGCTGAAGTCCCTTCGATCTCACACGAGGACTTTGATAATTTTTGCTTCTCTGTCTCTTTGCTTTCTGCATTCGTTCTTTTTCCTCTGGGGATCTTATACCGTTCCAGCAGAAGGTGCGCTTGTTTTGTTTCAGAATCTGGGAGACATTCGGGCCTATCTGTCGTTTACAGTGAGAATCAACCCCCGTAACTTATACAAAGTACAATACATCAGAAAGCGCAAGGGGTTGCTTACATTTCAGGCGCAAAAACCACCGTCGCGCTCACATCTCGACTACCCCAGAGCATTGAATAATCCAGAATGACAATTCGTTTCGAAATAACGAAATTCGAGCTGTTATTTAATTGCTTTTGTCGATAATTTGCGCGGTTATCCAAAAGAATTGGAGTTATCTAACCATTTTTTTAATCGCTTGAATTACATTTTTCACAGATTTGCTGAGGCAATAAGGGATTGTATAACCATCAGAAGCGAGCCCGTATGCGCCTTTCTTGGATATTTTTTTGAGGGTGGTTACGGCGACGCGGACGAGAGAATTAATTGTCGAACTAAATTAGGAGATTCCGGTTCCACACATGGGTATTTAATAAAATAGTCAAAAAGTGCCTTTAACGCTTGATTAACTGTGTTTACATTCTTCTTCGCTTGATCAGTCAATGTTTGTAAGAAATGTCAGCGTCTGATTCGAGATACCTCACTTTCCAGCCGTAATCGCCTGAGGTGGGACATTTCTATATAAATTGTAACTGGCACCAGTTTCACAATTAGTTAACTGTGACACCATGCATTTTGGAAACCTGCCACTTCAGGTGAGTAACCCCATTTCGTCAGCTCTTGAATGCACGGACCGTATCCTGCAGGTACTACTGCTGTCAGTGGTCGCCCTTTCCAAAGGGCAGCACTACGATTCGGATTACAACGTAGCTGACTCTGACGACGACAGTGCGGGCTACACCGCCGACGAGCAAGAGAGTCCCGATTATTCCAAGTACTTCAACTCGCCAGGCTCGGCACCGCAACAGGAGGAAAATTCGGAGAGCGGATTTGTTACCCCATTAGATTTCCAGTCGTTCTTCGGAGCACCACAAGGAGGCAAGTAAACTATTTCCATCATACTCCTTTAACATCCCATCACAGGTTTCAGCTCCGCCAACATACAAGATGAAGTGAAATCAGACAATGGCTTCGCCGCAAGTGGATTTTTTAACGGCCCAGGCTTGGGCGCTACGGACTACTTCGAGCAGGCACAAAAAGAGACGAAAAGTGTCGAGAATACTGAGCAAACTCCCGATTATATCTCCAGCAATATACCGACACCGGGGGGCTATCACGAAAACATCGAAAATTTTCGTAGGAGATCTGAAAAATTCCGCCCTCTACCGGCGGCCAAACCCCAAGAGGAAGAAGAAAGGCAATCGTACACCAACTTTAAACCGTCCCCCGTGGATTCGTCACCGATAAAACCGACCCAGCCGGGGTACTACGCCAAGTACACGCAAACGCCGGTGGCGTCGCCCTACCGAAAGTACAGCTTCCAAACTCAACCAACGCCGATACCTTACAGCCCCACCTACCTGAAGTACACATCCCCAGCCGACGGCAGCTACGAGTACGTGCCAAGTCAAACCGTCACACAAAGCGCGAGGCATACCGGCTGCGTCAAGGTCAACAAGAAGATACCCACGGAGAAATTCAGCAAGACACCCATGACCTGCTACGTGTGCAAAGATCCGAAAACCGGAGCGCAGTCGGAGCACTGCTCCTACGAGCAGCAACCGAAGGCCTACTACACAAGCTCGAGCCAATCCTACAACACGCAAAAACCGACCAGAGCCAAACGCGAGGATTCCGAAGCCTACGACCCCTACGAGGAGGTTAAGGCGAGGTCCCACCGCTACAACTCGCAACCGGAAGAGTTCGCCGACCAGCGCTACAGGGCACCCGACTTTAGCGAGTACGAACAGTATTCCGCTGCCGAAGAACGCGCCGACGACGACGAAGAGGACGAGAAGAGCTCCTCGGAGAAGCAATCCGAAGAGCTCGTGAAGCAGAAGGACAGCTGCCAGAAGATACACAAGGACGGCATCTCGTGCCTGGTGTGCAAAAACGCCGAGACCGGTGGCAATTACGAGCAGTGCTCGTACCAATCGGAACCAAATGAGCAAAAGTACGCGTACGTGCGTGAAAGTAAGTACGACGGCGATAATGAGAGCGACTCGCCCGAAGGTGAAAGCGAAAAGTACAAGGAGGAGGTTCCGGTACACTTCGCCAAAACCACCGGCAAACTACGCAGAGACGGAGTGGTCGGCTTGGATCCCACCTTATACGGCCGCCCCGAATCGAGGAAAAGATCCAAGGTGGCGAGGCAAGAGAGTAAACAGAGCGAGGATATTGTCAAACCAGAATCCTACTACGACCCCACCGGCAAGCGAGACGTAGAGAGGGTACTTGAAGAATTCTCGAAAAAGGATAGATCCAACTGCGAGCAGGTCAAGAAGAAGGGCATGACGTGCTACCTATGCGTTGACAAGAAGGGAATTAAGCACGAGGAGTGCATGTACATATCCGAGTCGCGCCCGCACAGCTCACTCGTCGCCTACCACGAGAAAGAAACCGTAAAAGACGTCGACGAGCCCGAAAGTGAAAGCGAAACCCGCCGTAAACTGGCCGTGCACCCCAAGAAGGTCCACGAGACGGACGCACGAAATAAACGCGAAAAGAAGAGGAAACCTGAACCGAAACCCGACATCGCGACCGAAGACGGGCCCAAGAAAGACAAAAGGAAGAGACAGGAACCGACGACCGGATTCGACTTAATCAGCAATAGTGGACCTTACTCGACCGAAAAAAAGAAGCAGAAGAAGACGAAGCAACGCGAGCCCGATCCGAAACCGGAGTTCGACGTCAACGACGAGGGTGGTCTGTACTCGGCCGAAACGAAACCGGTCTACGTAAATGCGTTGGGGTTGTCACTTCCGAAGTACATGGTGGAGAAGACCGACTACGAAAGGGACTTTGACCTGTCCTCGTCCAAAGGCCGCAAATGATCTAATTGTAATTATTTAAGTAATAGATTATTGTTAATAAATTGTTAAAAAATACATGAGATTTTCTCCTCACGAAATTTATAGTTGAGTGCTGCTGTTCTGTACATCCCTTGAAGAACCTCCCCCGATGAATCTTGCTGCCTACTTTTTAGCGACATATCTGTAGCAGGATCCCCTCCCCATTGCAATGTGATATTTTTCCCCTCGCGAAAACGTCGACGTTTTGATTACTCCTCCATGTTCCACCTTCACTTTCGTTACCGCAGCCCTCGCAATCACCTTTACATCTCCGATTACTTCACTTTTCCTTCTGGTCCTTCCCCTTCTTTCTTTCGACTTCCTCTACCTCTTTTCTACATCTGCTTCACAATCGGAGTCTGAGTCTGGATCTAAGCAGGTTCTCCTTCAGCTCCTTCCACATTTTTTAAACTTCGCCATTCGGGTCTTCTTCAGCATTCAGATCTTCGTAGGGCTTCCAACCTTTACTTCAACTTATCTCTTAACCTTTGCTTTACGTTCTTCAGTTACTGCTTCAGCTTCTTCTTTTAGGTTCTCCTCCAGGTGTCTCCTTTCGTTTCTTATTAGGATGTACAAAATTCTCATAGAGCCAAACGTACCGGGTTCTTAAAAAAAAACAGTTACAGACCTTTGCTTCGCTTCATTTTCCACTATATCGCTTCACTTCAGCTACGCTTGTTCATAAAAGCCCCCCCCCCCCCTCCACGAATTATTTCCTGAGATGCTGTTTTTGAAAGTAAAACGTACATAGCTTTTACATACGACAACCAATTGGGCTCAGATTTAGTGGTGCTAAGTTAAGCTTTAGAAAAGGGGGGGGGGGTCAACTCATGTTCTACCCTTCATGGTATTCAAATGAAAGGTCTCATCGAAATAAATTCGTTTGTACAAAGTATAACTTTCTCGTGCGACTCTTTTTCGAGATCAGGGGTCTGAGGGGGGGGGGGGAAATCATTTTATCTCTCATTGTATTCTAATGAAAGGTCTCAACGAAAGGAATCGATTTCTACCAACTACTGCTCTTCTTTCTGTCCTCTTATCAAAGTATGTCCATTTCTGTTTTGATAATATCTACTTCTTCATCATTTCAAATTCCAAAAAAAAGAAGCAAAAGGTTCTGATGAGTAGGTATTATTTCTATGGATGGGCGCGAATAAGGCAAAGCAAAGCAGAAGCCTCTGTAATGAATTCTGAGCTCGATTTTGAGCCACTGCTACTCCAAGACGCATGCAAGGTGATCGATATCCGAAAAACCAGGACAACTCCATTGCACCCGCAATCCGATGGTACGGCGGAGAGAAGGAACAGAAAATTAATAGGCAGTGCTCCAAATTTGTAGTTCGTACAACTGGGAATGGGAAATCCCACTTTTGTTTTTGTTATGTGGAAATCTCGCGTTGAAATTCCAGAGGAATTATGCTAAAATTGGCTATCTAGACGTATTTACACGAATTTAAACCTGTTGTATTTTTTTTGAGGTAAAGGATTTGGTTAACACGTTCTTTTTTAGGTTATTCCATAGGTTTTAATTTAATATCCTCCCTTTTTTTATCTATATCTCAATCCGAAACCCACTTATTAATCGAGTACGTAAGTTGATATTCGTATTGTGAAGTACCTTTCTCTTATGAATGTCGTTTCCGTTGCCGTACATTTTTGCTATTGTCCTGACGAATAATGGTGGGGGGAAGGACCAGAATATTAATAGACATTTCTCCAAATGTGTAGTTCGTACAACTGGGAATGGAAAATCCACTTTCTGCTTTTGTTATTGAAACGACAGATTCTTATTATGCGAAAGATGTAGAAATCTCATGTTGAAAATCTAGAGGAATTAAGCTAAAATGTCTATCTAGACGTATTTACACGAATTAAACCTGTTGTATCATTTTTGGGTAAACGATTTAGTTAACACGTTTTTTTAAGGTTATGCCATATGTTTAAATTTAATATCCTACCCTTTTTTAAATCTATATCGCAATCCGAAATCCACTTATTAATGGGGCACGTAAGTTGATATTGGTATTGTGAAGTACCGTTCTTTTAGCAAATGCTAAAACGAGTTCACTCACCTATGACTGATATGTCCTGCTTACCTAGAACTCATTTAGGATCAGAAGTTCTGCAATAATGTGGGTGAAATATCGGAGTAGCTGTCAAAGTGCAGATAATATGTAATTGCCATTGTCGTGTCGTTTCCGTTGCCGTACATTTTTGCTAATGTCCTGACGAATAATGGTGGAGAGAAGGACCAGAAAATTAATAGACATTTCTCCCAATTTCTAGTTCGTACAACTGGGGATGGAAAATCCCACTTCTGCTTTTGTTATTGAAATGACAGGTTCTTATTTTGCGAAAAATGTGGAAATCTCGCGTTGAAAATCCAGAGGCATCAAGCTAAAATTGTCTGAAAAATATATTTAGACGTATTTACACGAATTTAAAGCTGTTGTATCTTTTTGAGGTAAAGGATTTGGTTAACACGTTTCTTTTTAGGTCTGCTTTTTTCGCTGCCTGCAGCTACTATGCATTTTGTGGAACGCGATAAAGCACTATGTCCTTTATTAACGGCAATCAAGGTGTGCATGAAACATTGGAACGGTGGACTTGCTAGGTGTAGTTATCTTTTCTATTTCTACCGGTATAAGATCGGATTCTGTGACAGGTTTTTCCGGGCATAAAACTGTAGCATGTTTCGTCTTTTCGCTCTTACTCTGCATGAGCTAGGGCATAGGTACGAGAATAAGTAATTAAGAATTTGGAAAAGTGTCGTTTGTAATAAAACACTGTAGGCAACGACACAGGATGCAGTAGGCAACGGGAAACCACTGGGATTAAAGATCTGTTGGCCTCCCAAGTCGACGGGGACAGAAATGAAGAGAGAGATAATTGATACTTCGCATATTAAAGTTAATACAGGAAGTAAAATAGCTCCTCAATCAAAATATACAGTGTGCGTCCAAGAAGAATGACAGAAAAAAAATCAAGGCGAAAAACTAGAACATCTAAAAAAAGAAATGAGAAACTAATTTGGACTTTATTAGTGTCAGTGAAGTGAGACGAGGTGGATTCCACCTTCTATTATAGTGAAGATAAAAAAAGAAGAAATGAAGTGGGATTTATGGTACAGTCAAGCCAAATGAATCAATGACTATGAATCATAGCAATGAAGGTAGGTGAGATTGGAACGCCAATGTGGGAAAGGAAGAGGTTGTACGGATGCAGTTGGAAAATACGGACTTGGAGAAAGGAAAGAAAGAGGAGATAAGTTGATTGAGTTTTGTAAAGAAAATCATTTGATTGTTACGAACACGATGTTTGAGAACCGTAAAAGAAGGCTCTGCCCATTTAGGAAACTAACAGATTTTAATAGGAACGGAGTAAAAAAAAGTTTGCGTGCAACTATGTTCTCTTAGCTGCAAATTTAGAAATAAGACTGAGGTAGAAGAAAATGGAATTTGAAATAGTTGAAAGAATTGAAGAAAGAGAAACAAAAGCGTGAGATGGTAGAGTGTGGAGAAACATTGGGAGAGGATAAAGGAATGTGTAATCAAAGTTGGCTAAGAGTGCGTGGGTTTCAGCAAGGGGCCAGGGGCAAAGAAACCTTGGATAACAATAAAAATGATAAGGTAAGATGGAGGAAATTAAGAACGGATAAGGCAAGAACAGAATGGTTTTAAAAAGAGTATAGTGAAATTAGGTAGACATAATTTGGTACCCACATAATAAAATGAAAAAAAATACGGGAGAAAAGAGGTGGAACTATATCAGAGACAGAAATAGAAAATAAGGATGGCAAGTTGTTGACTGAAGAACGCGAAATATTGGAAAGAATATATGGAGGAATTATATCAAGCAAAGAGGAAGCCAACACAACAGTGAAAATAGATAAATTTATTGAAATGTGTACAAGAAAAAAGAGGAAGAACCATTGACGATATGCTGTCGTATTCCAATTTTTGGACAGACTACGGATCTGGGGTCACTGAACGTTGTAAGGTAATAAACCGATACAACGAAATATCGAAGGATCCTCAGTATTACAATCACTTTTAACGACAATTTATTTTAATCTTACAAAATACATTTTATAGTTAACAAAAATGCATCAAATTCATGTCTGGGGCATTGAGTCTTGGTTTTTTTTCCCAACGATCTTGGTGCATAAATAACGATTTTGACATGTTTTGGTCAAAATCCACGTGGTCGCCCAAAATGCATCAAATTCATGTCTTGGGCATTGAGATAATGCCCCTAGTATTTTCCCCAACGATCTTAGTGCATAAATAACGATTTAGACATGTTTTGATCAAAATCCATGTGGTCGCCAAAAATAGATCAAATTCATGTTTTGGTCTTTGAAATAATGCTCTTGGTCTTTTTCTCAACCATCTTGGTGCATAAATAACGGTTTTGACATATTTTGATCAAAATCCATGTGGCCTCAGAAAAATAATTTAACATTTTTTAATCACACACATGCGGTTATCAAACGTGCACGTTATCAACTCTTTCAGCATCAAGATAATGCGTTTGAAAGCTTTTACAACTCTAAATTCATGTGTAAAGAATAATTTTGGGTACATTTTGCTCTAAAACTTTTGACCGAGACCACAGAGAAGAGTTATATTGAATTGTTACACATCTAAGAGTCATAGGGAATAATCTAGCGAAAGTCCGAACTCGATACATGACCTAGGGAATGAAATATGTTGATTTCTATTATATTGAGTACGCAGTTTTTCCTGTTCCCGATTCACTCGAAGTCCTATAACTTTTGTTCCTGTTGAACCAGCTTCCTGAAAATCAATAGCGTCCGTCCTTAATGTCCAACGTACCCGTACACCAAATTTCAACACAATCGGTCACTTTTAAAAAGAGTTAGAGCGCACACGGACGGACGGACGGACGGACGGACGGACGGACGGACGGACGACAATACAAAACTATAAAGGATCTGAGGATCCTTAATAATAAATATAGAGTAAGGTTGATTGTAACTTTTTATTATTTTTGCTAATAGAAACTGCCTACATCTATGAGTGAATGTGACAGGAGTGAAAAGGGCAAGATGGGGCCTGTAACATTTGGGCCTATCACATTTTACAATACAATACTTACATACCGTGACAGCTTGATAAGTAGGCCATCTCTTTGGTATATTATTACACATTTTACAAAATAAAAATTGAAAAATAATACTTTCACGTACTCGGCGCCCTTTGAGGGCCGTTAACCGCAAGGACCCCTGCACGTCCACAGTTATTGCGAATTTAGTTACTGGCCGTGCAGGCGCCCTTGCATTCTTTAGTAAATTTAAGAGTACGCTTCACTGTGACTAGTTAACAGATTTCGAAAATTAACGCCTACGTATTTTGGTGTGCGCTAGGCTTTAACAATATAAATGATAGAATCAAGGAAATCTGACACGGATCCGTGCCATGATATGATCAGAAGTACAATGTGCAATTACTATATGAGAAAACATTCTTTGGTGTGCCTTAACGTAAAGCTAAATAATATAAAATCTATGAATAAAAAACACATCTCTTAAATTATTATGTTGAGTAATAAATAAAAAAATGAAAGTTTCGTATTTTATGAGACCATTGCTCTTGTCCATTATTCATATAATCCAGAAGTTTTTCCGGTTTTCCAGAAAATATAAATTTATTTGGGAATTATTAGCTAATATGTACTAACTATCTGTATATCTACACGCAATTTAAAATTAATCTTCTCTCAGTGTCCCGTTTATACAATTTTTTTTTTTAAATTTATAACAACCTCCCCCCAATCAGTTCCGGGTTTAGTCTATCGCAGATTCATCTCGTCGCTGAAGAGAACCTCAATTTTTAGGCACGCACTTCCGCTGTCGGTCGGCGAGTTCGCCGAGGCGAGCGAGTTCGCCCGCGTCGCCGCCAGCGGCGAACGGCTGCTCTGTTCGCCGTTTGACGGGTCGGCGAACTGCGAGACGGTGCTTAAAATTGGACCCTCGCCGTTACTGTAGTAATACGGTGGCGAATCTGCAAATGAAATTAAAAAACAATTAGAATCTTCCGTTCCGTGTGACCGAAGATATGGAATGTGAGTGGGGAATCCATTTTGGCAAGTGGAGAAATTAGTGCTGATTTTGACTAACACTCAGTAAAATAAATGAACTTTCAAGAATAGTTTTAATAACATTTGAGACAATAGTTCATCGTTTGCTCTGAACCCTGAAGATGAACCTGTTGCCCATTATAAAATTTGGCTAAACTTCTCAAGGATAAAAATTCCAGCTTCAATTGTCTTCAAAGCTAGAAGGCACAAGAAAAAACTTTCATCTGATGCATAAAGCTTGAGTGTACTTGAACTTAAAGCTTCAAACTTAAAGCTAAATGTTTGACATTTCAAGTTTAACTTGGACCCTGAAGTCCGTTACTAAAATGAAGCTTAAAGTTTGGAGCCGGAGAACTCTTAGTTTGGGGCGTTGAAGCTTACACCTTTGTACTGTTGGATGTGAATTTATTTATTTATTTATGTATTTATGTACTTATTTATTTATTTATTTATTTATTTATTTATTTATTTATTTATTTATTTATTTATTTATTTATTTATTTATTTATTATCACATGTTGTGGTCCCTCAATAAGCTTTCGCCCAATTACCCGTGACTCGCATAATGCTTTCTAGAGTATTTACCATACGAATTAGGAAAACTGGAGGAAAACCTAATTCGGAGTAGCCGGTGGAATGCTCAAAATTGATCTAAGGAAATTCCCATTTCTGCTACAGATAAAAAAATTCTTACCTCAGCCCAGTTTCGAGCACCCGACCTCCGGCTATGTAGCCCAACGCTCCATCACTGAGCTAGACAGTCGGTTTTTTGCAACTAAAGTCTCAAAAACTAGAAAATGTAGCAATTTAACATTCATTATCGACATGAAACAAATGGAAGGCGTTTAGAACGAGGTTTCCATGGGAGTGGTTGTTATTTATTTGAGTAGGTACTCCATTATCCTGAATAGTGTGTAATTTTTACCACATAAATTGAATGTATAATGATTTCTTTATTTGATGCTTTATTACACCTTCAATTCTAGTGGAAAAAACATTACCTACTACACGTTTTGGTATTTATGACTTTTTACTACTTTTTCACACTTATTAATTAACAAATCACGTTGTTATAATGAATTTTTTTAATGCCATACTTTCTAAAAGACTAGAACCGAAAAGAATCGTTATGAACCGGAAAAAATGCGCAGAACCAAACCGTTATTTTTCTTAGAACCGAAAGCGGACCGGAATATTTTTGCTTAAATATAAACAGAACCGGAACCGATATTTCATTTTGGTCCTGGTCCCTGAAAAGTATATACAGTGACAATAAGGTGTCTAATTTTAATAGATTGCTAAGATCGCCGGCCATGTTGCAGCAAGTATATTTAATTTTGTATTGAAGTGTACGCAACATGAGTCATACGTGTATTGTGTGTTGCATACTTCGCCTAACGTTCTAGGTTGACAACTTTAAATTTAAATATACAGACTTAACTCTCATTGGTTACATTCAAATCTGGAGGAAACATGGCGCAAAGCTTGACCACCGTATGGCCACCAGTTAGTATAAAGCCATATTGTATTTAGGTATCCAGTGACTATAGGGTCATACGGTGGTGTTATTTTCTATTGGGGAAATCCGCCCTGTTTTGGCCAACTACAGCGGATTGGTGGAAATTAACCTAGACCAAGGCGATGAATTTAATTTCCTGGACATAATTGTGGTAGCATTATTGTAACCATACCAAAAATGATAAATTGGAAAAAAAAAACATAGCCGACATGGAGCACTATGATGCCGTTTAAAACTGTAAAATGGCGCTTATGGATTTATGCATTAGATGTCGCTGCAAATGCTTGCATAATTCGAATTGGTATTATTGCAGTGATGTATATTGAGGTATCTACCCTAATAAATAACCACAACTCCATGGAAACCTCGTCCTAAGTGCCTTCGACTTGTTTCATGTAGGTAACGAACTTATAATTGTCACATTAACACTCACGGCCCATTTCGACACAATCATGCCAGGTCTGAACTTGCCTCGGAACTTGCTGATTGAGCGGTTTTGGCGAAAATCTGGTATTTGACTCGTGTGTCATTGGTTCTTTATCCACTTGAGATTTGATTAATAAATAGCTAGGTATTAATCTGGCTAAACGTCAACATGTGACTTTACAGCATGAAAAGCATTGAGTATCCTTAAGTATTAAATAAATAACCAGATATTGACGTTGTTGAAAATATTAAAGATATAGTCAAGATGATGAAGGTACAGGGTGTCTCAGTACCTCCACTTATTTTCATTAATTTTGGGAACATAAAGTTTTAGTTAAGACAAAAAATGTAAAAACTGATTGAATGCAATATAAAGGGAGCGCCCAACAAACACCGTTTTCAATAATGGGACAACCTATATATTTTCATAGTTTTGAGTAGCCCGTGTAAATAGATTAAAGACCTTTCCATTTAAAAAGATCAACTTTGGTATCAAAATCACCTGATTTTTAAATAAATTTGTTCCATATTTTAGCCGCCCACTATATGGGGTATCCATTATGTATGGAATATAGTATATATCGACTGTATACAAATCGATCGGGAAAAAATCTCTATCAAATGAGTCTAATGATAAATAATACTGCGATTTAAAAACTTCAATTATTTTTCTTTACTCATATGTTTGCTGAAATAAAAACAACTTGATGCTGCCTTATTAAGGGAAATAAAAACTTAAACAACTTACTTTCATTGTATAGAAAAATTTTTGTATACAGTCGATGTTTGCCGCGTTATATACTCTATTCCATACATAATGGCCACCCTGTAGTAAACAAAATTGATGACTCAGTTAGTATACAATTACAATACCATGTTATTTAAGATAGAAATCAAAGTGATCACCATTGTTGTATATGCGCAACTGATATCTATTTTCTATCTTCTAATGCATAGTATAAATTCAATGGCATAGCCAACTATAATATAAAGTTATCCCTTATTTTATATTATTTACTAGCGGGCCCCCCGAACTTCGTACCGCGTTATCTGTCAATGTTCCACTTCCGGGTGAGACAAAAGCTCGGTTTCAGTGGTCACGCTGCGCAAATTTTACCAAATCGAAAATCTTCAGGAAATACAAGGCTCCCCATTCCCAAGTCTATAAAAAATACGGGGTGTCCCGTGAAAGATACTGAAAAGTGTTCTGTTGGGCACTCCCTGTATAATGGTCCCAGTAAGATAATCAATATGGTGAATCAATGAAAACGCATGATAAGATGTCAAATATAGAATGTCTTACTAAAAATGATGTACAGGGTGGCCAAATAAGAATGCGAGGTACTGTATCTAGGAACCTGTCCATCGTAGAAGCTTGCGGTGAAAAAAAGTTATTACTAAAACCTCCACGAGAAAAACCTGGAAAATATGTTTAAGTTTCTGAAATGGCCGCTCGGGGGCGTGACTGCAATCTGGCATCTAAAAAAGTGATGTTTCTGTGAATTCCGCTATATTAACCTAACAAAAAATATCCGATCTTTGAAGACGACGATAATCTGAACCTTTTTTGTTTGAAAATTTTTCTTGTATCTATAAAAATGAAGTGGTGGAAGGTATTCAAAGGTTTGCGTAAAGAGCATCCTGTATCTTCGAAACGGATGAGCCAATTTAAAGAATCTTGGGTTAATTGAAGAGTTATTCTTCGGCTACAAATATTATAATATTTGAAGTTTTGTTAGTTTCACATATCGCCGCTTGAGGGTTTTTTTCGACATTCCGACAGAAATGGTTAATTTTCTCAAAAAAATTAAATGCGTTGGTTTGATTTTTTTGCATGAAAAAGTAGCTAAAGGATGCCTAAACAAGCTCGCAAAAACCGCATCTCGATATCTTGTTCCTAACCTAAAATTTAGGTCAAAGAAAATTTTATACCCTCAAAATTTTATTTCTTTAAGCTAATTTTTCCGGAATTATTTTTATTATATAATTTGTCGCCCTAAGGTGGATCGATTTAAAAAAGGAAGCTTTTAATGACGCCGTAAATGCTAAACTAACCCGAGTTTGTTTAAATCGGCTCAGCCGTTTCGAAGATACAGGGTGTTCTTTACGGAAACCTTTGAATACCTTCCACCACTTCATTTTTATAGATACAGGAAAAATTTTCAAACAAAAAAGGTTCAGATCGTCGACTTCAAAGACCGGACATTTGTTTGTTAGGTTAATATAGCGGAATTCACAGAAACATCACTTTTTTAGATTCCAGATTGCAGTTACGCCCTCTAGCGGCCATTTCAAAAACTTAAAAATATTTTCCAGGTTTTTCTCGTGGCCTTTTTTTTTACCGCAAGCCTCTACGGCATACACTGTGTGTCCAGATTGTTTTGTTGTCTCTTGTAGAAGAAAAAAAATTTCGAATTGAATTTTGAGCTTCTGGGGATCCGTCCTGCTTGCTTGGAAACTAATATGTGACAATTTTAGTTTCGAAACACCAAGGGTGTTTTTCAAATGTAAAAAAAAACGTTTTTTTTGCGTATCAGTAAAGTGCTGAGTAAACTTTCCACAATTTTAAAGTCCTAGGCCCACTTTGATTTTTTAAATTTTTTTGCTGGATTTTCACAAATTAGTTTCCAGCCAAGGAGGGCTGATCCCCAGAAGCTCAAAATTAAATTCTAAAACGACCGGGGAACACACTGCTTATAATGAATTAACAATAAATATAGTCTTGAAATGAATTTGGAGCTCTTGAAACTCGATTTGCTTATATAACAAACCGTGCCCCCTGTTTCTCGAAAGATCACGAACGCTTCCGAACGCAACAGACTACTCTAGAAAGTTATCGAACAAACACGTCATATGTCTAGGAAAGATTAGGTCACATCCGCCTTCGTCGATGACTAATCTTTCATGGCGCTTCAAAGTCTATGGTATTTGTGGAATGTTCGCTTCAAAATTTCACTCTTAGATAGAATTAAACAATATTGCGAACTGTCAAAACCAATAAAAACAAGAGATTATGCAAATAAAGCCAAGGCCTACTGAAAATTGTATCTGTATATACACCATTTTTAGGAACACCCTATATTGGTAATATTCAAGATATTGAAATGACTAGAACAATCAATGATATTTAAGATGTGGAAGGTGTTCAACTTCTGCGCTTCTAATACACAGTAACTCAAGTACCTACTGGTGAGGTCGAGATACCTCTCTTTAGTAGATTTTAGTGGCAAGAGAACCACAGAATTGATTGATAGAGCGTAATCGCATTATGCGGTATTTGAATAAATTGAAATCACAGATTCCGTCAACGCATCAGAAATGAAATTTAAGAGCGATTGATTTTCCGTGATGATGCGGAATGTTAATTTCGGCAATATACTCACTGTTTACTTACTCAGCAACCCGCTCGACGCGCTACCATAGCCATAACTTCCGTACGCCGCGCCGTACTGACTGTACGCCGTGCTGTACGCGTAATCCGATCCCGAAACCACCGTGCCGCCACCTGAAAACAATGGACATTTAGGCATCTCTCCACCGACTCGACGAGGGCGCCTAGTTCGCCGATTAGGTGGGGGCTGTCTTTTTACCTGTCGAGTAGCCGAAACTGGGTAACATAGAATAGTGCTGGGACGCACCGTTCGAGGGTTGCAAAACGGTTAGCGCCGTCGGATCCGGCGAACCCGTGTGCGAGGCCGGCTGACTGTTCGGTTCCGCTTGTACGGCGAGGGGTAGGCCTGGCGAGGCACCGTCTACCGCCGAGCCTAGCCCAACTACGCCACTGTACGGCGAGCTATTCTCAGCTATCATGCAATAACACAAAATTAGACATACACACACACAAAAACAAAATCAAAATTATGTTTAACAAGCGACGTCAGGGTGACCTTAGTCTTCTAATGGCAAATTAGGGCGGTTCGTGCGGTGAGGTAATTAAATTAGTAGAAATAATGAGATAATGTGGGAACGAATCTAAGGACGGTCTATGTTAATGGCGATATGATGCAAGGCATGCAGAGAACATGCAAAAGTGTACAGTGGCGTACCTACTTTTGGGGGTGCACTGGCTCACCTGTGTGGTAGGGGGACGGGGCCGGGTCGAGTATCCTAGAGGTTTCTAGTTTCATCTCGTGCACAGCGCAGTCTCAATGAAATTAGAAACCGGGAGAAGGGTGCGGGCGTACGTACCTAGAGTTCCTCCGAGTGGTGGCGTGTAGAGGTTTTGGGACGTCGCCTGGCTCATGGTGCTGATAGTGTCGTATAAATCGGTGGCCGAGCTTACAGGACCAACACCGGGAAATCCTGTGTGGCCGTCATAGTATCCCGTTTGGCCTGACGTGCCACCGGAGCCTAATTCCGAGAGCAGTTTGTGCTCCTCCTTTATCCCCCACTTGCTTGACCACAACTGAAAATGCTCATCAGTGACGCCTGTCTCACCACTGGAAAGTACTTACATTCGAATAGAGCTGGTCGCCATTGTATTGCGATCTTTGTCTTTTGAGGTCATCTTCCGGATGTCCGTTAATATCTCTATTTTCATCTGAAACAAGCGCGCCAATTAGTCCGGAACGGCTTTTTTAAGAACTAAACGCCTGCGTTAATATCTATTTGTCAAAGCACGCATATTTCACCCCCAAAGCCTCGCTAATGCGTACCCACCGGACCGTGCCAATCGTTACAATAGTCGCAAACTTAGCAATCACTCCCCGACGTCATTGTTCCAAGATTAATTGATCCAGACGCGCGATTTAATTAGAATTGCGCCTCGAAAGAACTATAATTAAATGTAGAGGTGTTTTCATTTAGCCGAACTCCCCCAGGAAACATTTCGGAGTAATGGTCTGACCGGAAACCGGAGTTTAACCGGATTTCCATCCGGTCTTAGTTATTGTCTTAAGTTTGCGGTTAGTTCCCTGTCCTCGGACCTTTAACTTGAGAAACAACTTGGCCCTTTAGTTTAGACAATTACCGACTCTCTTAAACGTCGACCGCAAGGGCCGGACGAGGAGATTTATTCGCTCTCCGCCGCAATTGTATTTAAACGTCCTCGTTTTCGAAAATAAAACGAAATCAATAGGGAATTCTCTATTAATTTCAATTATGACACTCGCCATTCAAATTCCTGTTAATAGCACAATGCCCATTGTTCGAGGATCGATTCTAAAATAACCAAGTAAATATATATCGTTTTAGTGCCGGTCGCTATTCGAGCTGACCTAATGGGATTCTCCGATAAAGCATTCATATGTCCGAACGGGGAAAGAGTGAGAATGGTAGGTAGGTGGAAGGAAAATGGGTCGTGTTGAGATAATGAAGTGGCCCCTGTCCACTCTAGTTAAATCCGTTGTGAAGTCGCTGTTATTTTGCATCCCGTGAGAGTTGTACACTCCCGACTAAAATAACATCGTCAGTGTCCGTATATTTTAGACCGAACTGTTAAAATCTCCCTTTTGCCGGCGGTAATTTAAATTAGGGCTTTTTTTGCCTTTAACAAAGTCGATACGACAGAGCCTTTTGGAATAAATCCGTCCATTTCATCAGCATTATAAATTGCCAATCTTCCCCTACCCGCTGAATTATAATCAACTGCAACGGTTACGTAATTGGTTGGAATACCATAATTAGGCCCTAGTTATGTGCCATCGGAGTTATACCAAAATTTCAATTGGTTCTACTAATTAAAAATGCCTCAAATTGCAGTAACCTTTGAATCCAAATTAGGCGGCAACTATGCGATGCCATGGCAATGAAAATTTGCGCTCAAATGGCAAAAGAATTAAATCAGCTTCCATCACCCCAACTGTGAACCAATAATTAAATTTATTTTTATTTATTTATTTATTGTCCCTCTTGTTCTAGACCCTAAACAGGCTTACGCCCAATTACAGAGTGACCTGCATAATGCTTTTGAGAGGTGCCCCTGCAGAAGGTCTTAAGTTGTCCTATACTACTCCGGCATTTACCTTACGAATTAGGAAAACTGCAGGAAAACCTAATTCGGAGTAGCCGGCAGAATGCTCGAAACCGATCTAAGGAAATTCCCATCTCTGCCACATATGAAAAATTCACCTCAAACCAGGTTCGAACACCCGACCTCCGGATTTATACCCCAACGCTCTACCACTGAGCTATCTTCATGCAAATACCAACCGCCGTTCTTCCCCCCAAGTGTCAAAAGTAAACGACAAAACTCTCTTCGCCACGGCTTTGTTCAGAAGGACGAATTAAAAACGCGCAAAATTTGAGTTGAGTTTCATATTTGTATAAAGCACACCCCCTCAAAATTGAAAAATTTGATTGTAAAGGTATTCGAGGCTACAGCCTGGTCAAAGTGTAGACCAAGAAATTTTGTTCCAGCATAGTAAAACAGCGCATAATTGGCGCTTAATACTGGATGATGATTCATGATAAAAATCTGCGGCTGTGAACTTGCGAATGATTTTTGCTGAAACGCATTTACTGTTCAGTGTTCATTTTGTGTGTACAAAACGGCGCTTAATATTTGCATAAAATGCATTAACAAAATTGTATTCAAAAGGCACTCCTTGGCGCATAATTCTTTGTAAATATTCGAAAATTGTCCAATTCGGAAGAAATTCGATCAACTTGGACAAATTTGTGCCTCGTAATTCGCAAATAAATACTTATATGCAACCAATCAAGAACTAGTTATGCGCTACTGAAGTGGAATTTTGGCGCTCCAATAAGTATTAGAAAAAAAATCATTACGATCACGACAACATACTAGGTCTTTTCGTATTACATCCCAAAATTTTATAAAAAAATGGGGCATAACTCATTTTTCAAGTGTGCTGTACAGTGGTGGTTCTTTACTAGTAGGCGCAAAACGGCGCATAATTCTCTGGTCGGGAAAGAATTTCGCAGTTATGAAGTTGCAACTGAGTACAAAACGCAGCATAATTCCCTCTTAAGATTCAAAACTTTGTTTTATGAAAAATTCAAAGCTGTAAATTTGCTCTAGGTAATTTTGGGCGCAAAATTCGATTTCAACAACCCAAAGCGGTTCACAGATCGCGCCTAATATTTCAGAAAATGGGGAAATGTTTGCTTACCGTTAGAGCACAATGTTTCAGTACACACGACACAAAATACCTTCGCTGTGAAAGATATGTAGAGCGCAAGATTCTACCCCGGAAGCACAAAAAGGCGCATAATTATCCCTTAATGCCTACGTATTGGATTTCCGCAGAAAAAAAGCGATTTGGATCAACATGAATAAATGTTCGTAAGAGATATTTACAAACAACCATCAAGGACTAACTATGCGCTAATGGAATGGAATTTTGGCGCCTAATAATGGGTAGAAAAAAACTATGGCACAGTCTTGCACCAATATCGAACAATACTTGATGTAGGTTATTTTCTATTATCAAACAAAAATTTTTATTCCGACTGTGCAACATGGCGCATATTTCGTTTTTAAACGAAACGGGGCATAATTCGCTCTCAAGATTCAAATTTTGGTTTATAAAAAAATTCAAGACTCGAGGGAATTTTTGAAGCAAAATCTTATTGTATCAAGGTTAACGAATAGTGCCAAAAATTTCAGTGTTTACTTACGAATAGCGCACAAAATCGCCCTTAGTAATTATGAAAAGTTGAAGGCTTCTAAACTGAGTATAGTGGAACATGATTTCGCTGTGAAAGAGACTCGGCAATGTAGAGCGCAAGATTCTATTCCGGTAGCGCAAAATTCGCGCTTAATGCATACGTAAAATGATAGGGGGCCAAAAATTCCGCGACTACGAATTTGCAACGGGATTTTACTGTGACTCTCTTCCTGTTCGATAATGTGAAATTCTATCCTGAGCGCAAAACGGGGCATAAATCGCTTTCAATATTAAAAAATTTCGTCCATAAAAAACTCAACACAACACAACATTTTGTCAGGCGCATAACTCGCGTTTAATGGTGGTGGCAAAGAAGTAGTTACCTATGAACTTGTAGGTTAGAGTCAATTTTGAGCGCAAAATTTTGTTCCATCAGTCAATACCTTTAGAGCACAAAATTACAATCTAATCGCTAAAAACGGCATAAATTCACTCTGAATATTAAAAATTTAAGGCTCTAAACTGAGTAGAGTAGAAGACATTTTTTGGTGTCTAAGAGACCTTTTACTCCGGAAGCGCAAAACCGCGCATAATTCGCTATTTGGTTTATGAAGAAATTCAGGGCCCTAAATTCGACCGGCTCGGTTGAAATCTAAAATGGTTCAAAATTTGCGCTTATTATTTATAGGAAATGGTAGAATTTTTGTGCGCTCAGAGCATAAAATTCCACGATAATGGCTCAAAACGAACCAAACTCACTTTTAATATTCAAAATCTAAGGCTCCTAGCAGATTAGAATTTGCTTCATTCTCGTAGCGCAAAACGGCGCATAGTTCCTTTCCAACCTTCAAATTTTTGGTTTATGAAGACCGGTTTGTAGGCAATTTTGAGCCCAAAACCTTATTCCAGCAGTGCAGTGGGGTTCATAATCCGCGCATAATACCTATAAAAAATGGTGAAGTGTTTTATACGGTTAGAACCCAAAATCCACTCTAATGGTTTAAAACCAACCAAACTCGCCCTTAATATTGAAAATCTAAGGCTCTATACTGAGCAGGGTAGCAGATGTTTTTGGAGTCTATGTAAAGCGCAAAATTTTATTCCGGTAGCGCAAAACCGCGCATAATTTGATCTCAAAATTCAAAATTTTACTGTATGCAGAAATTCAAAACTGTAAATTTGACCGATTCGAGGAAATTTTGAGCACACAATTTTGTTCCAGCAATCCACGGTTCATAAATCGCGCATAGTATTTGTAGAAAATAGTGGAATTTTTTTACGGTTATAGAAATTCGCGCTACCGAAGAACTTAGCAGTTATGAACTTAATTGTAGGTTGGAGCCAATTTTTAGCGCAAAATTTTGTTCCATCAGCCAATACGGTTAAAGCACAAAATTACACTCTAATCGCCTAAACACGGCTCAAATTAATTCTGAATATTAAAATCTAAGGCTTTAAACTGAGTAGAGTAGAAGACATTTTTTGGTGTCTAAGAGACAACCTTTTACTCCGGAAGCGCAAAATGGCGCATAATTCGCTTTCAAGCTTCAAATTGATGGTTTGTGAAGAAATTGAGCGCTGTAGATTTGACCGGTTTGTAGGAAATCTTGAGCGCAAAACTTTATTCCAGCATTTCAGAACGGTTCATAATCCCTGCATAATATTTATAGAAAATGGTGAAGTGTTTTATACTGTTAGAGCCCAAAATTCCACTCCAATGGCTTAAAACGAAACAAACTCGCCTTTAACAATGAAAATCTAAGGCTTGAAACAGTGTAAGTGTAAGACCATGTTATCTAGAACGCAAAATTTTATTTCGGTAGCGCAAAACGGCGCATAATTCGCTACTAAGGTTAAAAATTTTGGTGTATGAAGAAATTGAAGGACGTGACTTCGACCAGCTCACTTTTAATATCCAAAATCTAAGGCTCCTAATTGAGCAGATTAGAATATGCTTCATTCCCGTAGC